TTTTTTTTTCGTCTCCTCCTTCCCCTTCAAAATAGTAACTGGTAATTGAAAAACAGTACGATGGGTACAAAATTCGATCTGCAATGCGATTCAATATTCACTATAATTATTTATCCACTATTTTTATTGAATTTTTAGTAATTTTTGCATTTTTTTTACATATTTATTGAAATTAAGGTCCAAATATGTATTTTCTTAGATAAAAAAAATTGATTTTTTTTGGTCGGTTTTTTTTTTTAAATTGTGCATTAAGGGGTTAAATTATGCGAGATTTATCTCAAAATTTTGCACGTTACTCTATAGAGAAAATCGATCAAACACTTCGATACCTCAATTTTTCGTCGCAACTACATCTCTGTTCGGGATCTAAAATAAACCCCTAATCCAACCATTTCTATACGAACAACGGCAAACAATGATCTGTATCAACCAGTTACCGACTCGCATATACTTTCGCCTGTTTATTCCGAAGCAGGTATAATAATCGCGCCGATTAATTCAGGTTACCGGAGATAGTTTCACGGAGTGACGTCAATGCGCGGGACAGGATGCTTTTTCACTCGAACGTTTACGAGTGGCATGAATTTAACAGGAACCGTCGATGAAGCGATGAAATGCAGACCGTAGGCGGAGAGAGTAGATCAACGACCCGATCTTCTCCTTTTCTGGGCGGGTAGCGATCGTTGCGTCACGCGCGAAATCGCATCTCACTCGCAAGTTGAACGACAGCGGGGCCCGACATTATCTCAGCCCCTCTTCCCCTTTCGATCACGTAATCTGCGATCTCATAACATGTCACGCACTGGTCGTATGTACTGATGAACACGCGCCGCCACTTACGCCTCGTGTCGCGGAATATTTTCGTACCGGCGCGTTTCTGCGAACATTTCCGATTTCTTCCATGGCGAACGAGAGGGAGATCAAGAGTTGCAAGGGATCGAGAGTGAGCGCATTTTGGAAAGTACTTCCTCTGAGACGGTCTATCGATCTTGTGAATAGCTAGTTTTATTGTTATCTGCGGGGTGGATACATCGAAACGTAATTTAATGCCAATTATTTGCATTAGAAATAAAAGATTTTGGAATGTTCTGAAACTGAGAGGATTTATCGATCATCGTTCGTAGATCGATTCATGGAAAGGTTATGTAATTCTGTTGGGTTCACAGGGGTGCAAAGTGTCACAATATGCTTTATTTTTTTGGTGGAGGTGTAGACTTGCGAATATAATTTAATGCCAATTGTTTGCGGGGAAGTATTTGACACATTCCAGATCGTTTACATTCATCGTGTCGTATGTGCGAAAACTATGTTTATTTGTGATCTATTTAACATGTAGACGTGGAAATTTACGCAGACGTAGCTGGCAATGAATTTTTAAAAAATTTTTCCTTGGTTAATGCAAAATATCATACAATTCGGAACAGGAGACATTGATTCCTAGACGCGTGGACGTATTAGTTACAATTTAATTTCGGTTCGGCTTTTGCATGCACTTTCACGTTGTCCATAATACACAAAGGTTTTTTTTGCGACACTTTAAGAAGAAAGCGGTCGTAACGCACCTTGCCGTATTGACGGCAATAAAAAGGGAAACCGGCGGTTTTACATAATTTATTACGCAGATGTCTCGGTTTTATTTATCGGGCAATTTTTGCCCTTAATTTTTGATTACGCAACGTCGTCTTTGAACGCCTCCGCGGTCGTCCCCTTTTAATGGATCGCAGCCTTTATGCTTTCCGATGTTTACGCAACCGAGCATAATACTGTTCCGTTTGTCCAATTAACGAACGTTTTTTCTCGATGTTCCAATTTTTAGATAGCGAGATAATTAACAGTGGACGGATATGGGTACGTGACGCACAAGGGTAACTGAGAAAACACTTAACAGTCCGGAAACGATCGCGAGTGATCGTTATGATGACGTCAAACGCGACCGAAAATCGGATGGACACAAGGGTGACAATTGAAATAAGAGGTTGTCTTACGTCGCTCTTCGTCTTTAAAAGTTAATAATCAGTCAGAATGACAACCGACCGATCCAGGTCGAGTGGAAAGTGCGCTGACGTGTTCTGCATCCTTGGATTATCACGCGACTCGTAATAAGTGATTAATTATTTGCTGATTTCGCGTCAACCGTTGCGCGACAAGCCTCGTATAATCGTTCCCGTGATCCGTTGTTACTATTAATAGTGATTCCCAATTTTCTTTGGCTTATGTTCCTCTTTCGACGATGTTTAAAGGAAACAATAAGACTAATTTCCTTTTTTTCCTCGCATGAACGTCTACATATTTTAGAGTTTCAGATTTACTCTTCACTTTCCTGATGTTCTACTTTTTTCAAAGTTTCAGATTTATTGTATCATTTCTTGGCCATCTTACAACGAAGAGAACAATGGTTATATGAAAATGGTCAATAACAATTTTATTCCTTCTCGCAATATCTTTTCAGTGATTTGCAATTATTATCGTTCCTGTGTGACCCTTAGGGTAATAATAGAGGTTAAATAGTGGATATTTCTTCTAATAAAACAAATACGACCGAATAAGTGCATAACACGTTAGTTAATCGATTTAGGATAGCACTGTTACAAGCAACATTTTTAGTTATCCGATTTCGAGGTAATACTGTTACACAGTTATAAACTTAGGAGTCAGAAATGTTGATCATAATAGTACAATTTCTATTCCTTGAGACTTATAAACAACTAAATGTATTCTCGCTATATCTATAATCACTTTTGTTTCATAGATCTAGTATAAATTATGAATCGTTAATTTTAAGCAGGTCCAATTAATAATGTTCGTTTACATCATTCAAAATCTCACTGCTCGGGACATTCCGCGAGTAAAATTATTTTGGTTCGCTCTAGGGGGTGCCATAAACCGTGGTGGCGCGCCCTGATAAGTGCTTGGTGGGCCGTAAGAAGGGGGTGGTGCGGGGGATGGCGAATCCGAGGAACCGGCCGACGACGCGCTCAAGATACCCATTATCGCGTTAATCAGGGAGGCGACTATCTTTAGTATCGCGGTTAATATGTCATTAACCGAGGAACCGAGCAGGGCGATGGGATTTTCCCCCTTGTATGGCGTCATGGGCATCATGGGCTGGAAGATTCAGAAGTAGAATGTAATAGGGGACACTTATGTATATTTACTTTTCAATCTCTGTCGTTCGAGTAATTATGAGCAGCTCCGCTGCGCCTCAAAATATACAAGTTTTAAGTCACCAATTAAGAATTGAATCTAATCAGCTAGGTGCGGAGAAATGACAGAACACGAATTGAAAGGAAAGACTGGTGCTTTTAGATTGGTTAGCATTTCATCTACCGGAAATTTTCTAATAGTCCTTCGAAAGTGGAAGATCAACCATTTCTTAAAACATTGTTCAGTAGCGACAGCAACTTTATTTATAATTCAAGGCTTGAATTGATATTCTGTAAGACTTTCTCAAAAATCATTATTTCAAAGATCAATAGTTGTGAAATTCTTAAAAGATTTGTTCAAAATCGACAACAATTTCGTCCATAATTCAAGAAATGGTTAGGATCAATGTTCTGTAACATTGATGTTATGAAAATTATCATCGTCGATCTACGTGAAGCTGATTCGTTGAAAATCCTATTAAGAGACTTCCGATAAATAAAGTGTTGATTGAAAGAAAAGATTGACAGAAAAGAAATTCACGACGAGAAACTTTACTCACGCGATTAGGCTGACCACCATAACCGTAAGAATCGCCGCCATAGCTCGTAGGAGCTCCATAAGAGTCTCCTCTTGGTCCGCTGGAGCTGGCGCTAGTTCCAGAGATCGATCCAGCAACGATCGCCTTGATCAGACTGGTAATGTCGGACCCACCTCCAGAATTCTGAAAACAATCCAAAACAAGCCGACCATTAGCACCGATTCATCAACCGCTCGAAAGACTCGCGCATAAACCGTTCAACTCTAAAATCGGGCACATCGACCTCTCTCCAACCGCAAGCAAAATCGTTAATCTAAGACAATGGTATTCACGACACTCGTTTAGTTTGGAAACGGTAAATTTATTAGCCATGAACAACGGCTCGTTAACAGAAAATTAATGCGTACTTTGCTAAGACTAGAGACGACTCCTGCGACCAATTTCTGCAGCATCGACGTCATGCCGGGCCCCGACTGAAAATGGGAAAAATCATTGGCACAAGGAGCTACAGCATAATTAATCCATAATCTTCAGAATGATAATTAGTACCTCGCTCAAGGGTCCGCTCAAGTTCATTATCAAATTGCCGGAGCTGGATGCACCCTGATTGGGAGGCTGAAATCCGAATTACTTCTATCCTAAACTTCGTCTGAGAAGGTTCATTCTACTCACGTTGCTGCTCTGTCTGCTCAAGGGGACGAGTAAAGGACCAGAAAGAGGCCCGATCAAAGGCGCAAGCACTTGCAGAAGAGGCGTCAAGATAGCTACCGAGTCTCCCATTCCCTCTGGCCCCTGAAACAAGCTTCCTTACTCGATTACCAGTTCCCTTACCTGTCGTTTTCATCGCCGAAGCAGCTGGGCAACTCACTCCGCTAATCTGCAATAAAATGGGCACCAAGATTCCGGCGACGTCAAAGCCGGGATTTACTCCGTCTCCCTAAAAAGAATCGAACAGAAGTACAAAATCCAGTACACGAGAGGACTTGGCAGAAGGACGATTGAAGATTACGTTCGACAGATCTTCTAGTAGCGGAACAGCGGCTTCGAGGACGTCGGAGATGTTCGTGTCGCTTTCTGGCTGCAAGAAGGATCAGCTGTAGTTGCTCCTAGTTGAGACCTTGGGAAACTAGGTCTAGAAGCTAGTCTAGAAGCTAGTCTAGAAGCTAGGTCTTCATAGAGGTTTCGCAGCTTTTCCAGATGAAAACATTCATTGTAGAGGAGGTCTAGGTCTCTTACGTCGCTGAGATCCTCCAAAATGGGGGCCGCGAGCTCGAGGAGGTTGATGATGGCCTGCACAGAGCCGCCCTCCCCATCGTCCTCGTCGCTGTAATCGCTTTCATCGGAGCTGCTCTCGGAGCTTCCGCCGTTATCTTCGTCGCTTTCGACTTCGTCTTTCGGTTTGCTGCCTTCGTCTTGATCGCTCTTGTCCTCCTCGCTCTTATCCTCCTCGCTCTTATCCTCGCCGCTGTTGCCCGAGTCGCCGTCGTCATCATCGTCCTAGAAATCGCAATTGTCCGCGCCGAGGGATCAGACCGCTCGTGATGAGAGCGTTAATTACCAGGGAAAAGCAGCCGAGATTACGTTAATACGGAGGAAAGCGAACGTACCTCGAGCTCTTGCGCCAGAGACGTCTGATTACGTCTTCCTTGTCGCGACTCGGACTGAAAACCAACGAATCGAATTCAATGAGCGTTCCATTCCGTCCGCGTTCCGCCCCGAAGGGGCGTGCGAGCCGCTCGAGCGGACACGGTGAAAACCGCTCGCGGAATACGCTCGAGCCAGGTCTGCGTGCGACCAAAATCGTGCTCCCTTTTCACGGCAATTTGACACGGTTTGATAAGCGCCGAGGAAATTGTCGTGCGCTGCTCTCCAAGCGCGCGTTTTCGCGCGCAGTTGCGCAACCGATTCGGACGGCAATGTGGAAGATGTTGCGCAACGGGCGCGTTCACCCTAAAAGCCGAGCCTTGGGAGTAAGTAGCTTGTCCCGGTAATCGGTCGCTTCCGATGATGCTATTCGAACATTGTCTCTTTGGTCAAGCGGAAACCGCTGTTGAAAGAGAGTCTCGGAGACATCGGCAATTTTGTTGCTTACTTGTTTTTTATTTATTTTATTTACTTTGTATTTTATTTTACTTGTATTTGATATGAATGTTTTGAAAAAAAGATTGTCTATACACTGATTGTTTTATGAGCAATGCAGTAATTAAATGGACAAAGCACACTACGATATTTTATGAAAATAACGAACTACGAATTAAAATCCATGAATCTACATGTGCGCGTTTCGCTTTAACAAGTCCTTTTATGCAAGGTTCACTATTGCGTTAGCGCTAAAAAGAACCAAGTCTCCAAATTTCACTCTCATTCCTTGTAGCGTTCATAACACACATTTCAATCTTAACTTGAACATGCTTTGCAACTTCTTTTATGATCAACATAACGTAAGCATCATTACATTACGTAATAGTATGTATGTGTAGTAACACTAAAGAATTACAACTAAATCTGAACTATTTTAGTTCATTTCTGCTGTATGCACCCATGTTATAGCTTAATTTTTATTGACCGAAAAGTACACTAAAGTCATCGGAAGCAACAAATTATACTTTTCATGATCGTTACTTTGAAAAAAAAACGCGTACGGTCCTGTAAAAGAACTTTCTCACCAGTCGAACAAAAGAGATCCACCAAGATCGCAGATCTTTTCTCATACGATGATACGTAATGTCCATTCTCGCGCATCTTCCATTCGACAAGAGCAGCATACATCATACAATTTCTTTAAACGCAGCCGTTTTACAGTCTGCCTTTCACCGCTGAAATTATATCTGATACCACAGCTCCCGTTCTTTTCCCTGACCCGAACTACTTTGACACGCGCGCGTTCCTTTCTCTGCAATCTACTCCTCCCTAATCGCATTACTTTTACTTCATTCCCTCTGTCAAACACGCCGGCCACTGGACTTGAGTTAGCTACCTTTAGGCTAGGTATAAGTTAGGATTGCATATGAACTAAGTCGTAGGCTATGAGGTAGTCGTAATGAATAAATCATGTCAAACTTAAACAAAGATTGGGTTGGGTACATTAGGTCTAGGATAGGTGGTGTTAGAATTGGACTATGAGACAGTTTAATCTAAGTGCAGGACAAACCTCATTAGACCTTGACTAAGTTTCAATTAAACACATTCGATCTGGTCTAGGTTCGAGACAAATCATATTAGAGTTAATATAAATTTGAGTTGGACAACCTAGGTCTGAGATACTCTTAAAGTGAACACTGTTAGGCTTGTTCTAAATCGGAGTTAAGTCGTGCTAAGTCTAGTCCAAGTTCGATAAGAGTAAATATAAGTCAAGTGTCGATATAAACATTAAGTTATACAACAAATAGGTCTACCCGTGTCAGAATTAACCTTCGACTGATCAGTCTTGTTTAGCATCCTATGAATCTTTTTAATCGAGCGATCACACAATTGAGTTTATAATAAACAAAATTTTGAGAGAGTGTTTCACGGACCATGAAATTCAGTAAAAATCACCTGATCAATGAAAGGTTAAACCTATTGGCTTAATTGTAAGTTAAATCAAATTATGTCTTATTCAGGTCTCAATTAGATCTACACTAAGTCTAGAATACAACCTGCTCAACTCAATCAAACTTACCGGTTTCGGAGGGTAAGTCTGCGGATGTTGGGGGTATGTTTGCGGCTTCTGGGGGTAAGTTTGCGGACTCTGGGGGTAAGACTGCGGGCTCTGGGGGTAACCTTGCTGTCTCTGAGGAAACGACTGCGGTGGTCTCGGCGGTGGCGTTGGTTCCTGTTTCTGCGGAGCCCTCTGTGGCAACGGGAACGATAGCGGTGGCTTCAAAGGTGGCGGCGATAGATCGACAGACAAACTATTATTCGCGTTAGGAGTATTCCTAAGTGCAGTAAACACTTTCAAAAGCTGCGCGATCATGGAAGGCTTCTTGGGCCTCTCCTTGTCTCTATCTTTCTCCTTGTCCCTCTCCTTATCCTTGTCCCTCTCCTTGTCCTTCTCCCTCTCCTTTTCTTTCTTCTTCTTCTTCTTTTCGCTCTTTTTCGTGGCGTTCACCTTTTCGGTCACCTGGCTACCATCATCAAACACAACGTTTATCTGGCCCGACTCATTCGTCACCGTGAAGTTATTGTCAAAATACGGAGGAAATGCATCAGGAGGATCCCTGGTCGGTGGAATAAACTGCTTCTCGTTGTCGGATTTCGAGGTGGTAGGCTCTATCTTCGCTTCTCTTGTAAACGTGATCACAGCCTCGAAAGGAACGTTCAGAATTCGCTTCGGAGGACTCGTGGAATTCTTCCTGGTAGCTAACTCTAGGCTCTTCACTGGCAGCGGGATCTCCTCGCCGAAGCTGACGGGTTTGATCGTGGTGTACCTCAGATCCACGGGCAGAATACCCAGGTTGCTAGTCACGTTTCTCTCAATCCCGTCGAAAAAGTATCGGGTTGCGAACGAATCGCTGGGGAACCTGATGTTGTCGGTGGTGGTTACAGGTAGGTAAGTCCTCGGCGGGGGTGGCACAGTCTCCGCGTTGAAGATGTCGATGTTCTTCGGGCTGAACACCCCAAAATCCGGGAATGTGGGCACGAATAACTGCTGTTCGTTGATCTTCAACGCGTTCGCCATGTCGAAGGTGCCCTTGATCAGTGACTCTTTGATTTCCGGCCTGGCTACGTTAATATTAGCCTTGATCTCGAAGGGACTATGCACAGTAGTATCACCGATCCCCAAGGTAGCAAACGTGGTTGGTCGGATACCAACGAAGTTCTTGGCAGTCAATGGCCCAGTGGTGAATGCCTGCAGGCTAGGAGTAGAGATGACGCTCTCTTTCCTCGGCGCAGGAATCCTGCTCTTCTCAGGATACTTATTGGTGTCCTGTATCCTGAATTCCGCAGAACCCTTATTGCGATCATAATTCTTTACGTTCTCGGCGTACCTGGAGGTCTCGAAATTCTTAGCATATGCCTTCATGGCCCCAGCTGGTTTTCCAGGATCTAGGTTCTTGAACCCCGAAGTCTTGAAGCTCTGCATTTGCTTGTAGTTGCTAGGATTCCTGGTAGGATCCAGCGGGTTTTCCGTAGTATCCTTAACAGTCGCCAGCGTGATGTTGATTCTGGACGCCATCAGACCCATCACATACTTCGCCCAGGCTACCAGATCGTCCTTCGTGGCGATCTTCAGCGGCAGCTGGATCTCCAGGATCTTCGGCACGCTGGAGAACCCGTTCCTCGGATCACCAGTCAACTCTGGCGATCTTTTCACCGGTGGCGCTGGCATCGAGATCACTAGGTGCGTGATTATCAAAGCAAGCACCGTGTGAGACCCTCTGGGCACGAAGATCATCTTGGGACAAAGGACTAATTATCCTCTCAGTGGCACTTCTGGCAATTACAAGGCGAGACCCGGCTCGCTGACGTCATTTCCGCCGGAATCCCTTGAGCATCGATCACCAAAGTCGAGGCCTTTGGCTTAGAAGTCGCGTCGCGCGTTCCCCATGTCGATGGGAAAAGAGAAAATGGGAAACTGAACGATGCGTCGAAAAAATGGCAGCTTTATAGCGACCCCTTTCCTTCCTGATCATGGAAGCGTGCACCTTTCCCGGGCACATCGCGGTCTGGATATTGGCATTCCTAATCACAGTGCTCTCACTTCCGCCGTTGCGATCGATGCTCAATGATCAATGCTCGATGGTCGATGTTCCAGGGCTGCAATTACTTAGCGAGGCACCGACGCAGGCGAAACGCACCTGACGACAGCCCCGAAGCTTTCGCAAACCACCTGGAATCTGGACAACGTGTAGAAAACGGACCTGCGTAATCGCACCTGCTTTACTAATTGAAACTTCGGGCTTCGAGGATCTACGGCTCAGCGGAACGTCGATGATTTGTTGATGTGCTTGGGTGGTTGCCCGGAAAGAGAGGCGATTGGATTTTGTAAGATTCCATCATTTATGGGTTGTCAACATATTCTTGGATTGAGATTCGATTTATTTCTGGTATTTACCGATCAAATGTATGAGGTAAGTTATAAATAAGATACAGAAGAACATCGATTATTCGAACCAGTTGCAACAGTATGAATGTTCGAATAATACAATAGTTATTCGATGACGGTGCTAAATTAACTTCTGACTGATTTATCGAATAAATTGTGTTGTCAATGGATCGTCTTAGATTGATCATCATCGCTTTTCAATTCTTATATTACTGAATGAGTTACTTTGGTTTTATGGAATTTTCGAAGTTATTAGCTTGACAGTGAAAGTGTTGAAATTATTATACATTTACAAACTTTAATGAAAGTTATAGTAGCTACATAGATATTTATTTCTGTTGGAATACAACGATACCATCGTCGTAAGCGATAGCCGAACGGGGGTAGGAGGCGTTTCTTCCCCGGCTGCGAAGGGACCCAGGCGGGGGTGTGAAGTGGGGACTGCAAGTCAGTCCCAGGAAATCAGCCAGCATAAGCGCATCAAGGCACTGTTCCCCGTTCCCTTGTCTACACTTCAGCAAATATCTAAACACAGCAACGTGGAAACACCGACGCACACAGTCATTTCTAACAATTTCTCTCCGTAGACAACAGCATTTTTAAATTCTTTTACCCCTTCGTAACCCTGGACGAGATATCCCGCGATCCGATAAAAGCCGATTAACGTTTTTGACGAGTTGTATCGCGGCCCAGTACTGCTGATTACAGCTTTTAACGACGTGATTGACGTCAAAAGCGTTAATTGGCAAGTACCAATTCACGAGACATCTTGTCATCAGCGTTAATAGCTTAGTAGTATCGGGTGGAGAGATATCTCCAGGGTTACGAAGAGGTTAAATGTCTTTGCTGTGTAAGATGACATCTAACATAAATTTCTTTCTTTCATAAATTTCTTTGGCAAACACAGAAATTCCACTAGTGGTCTAACAACCATGAGTCAATGGGAGACAAACCTGCTTGAAGCGATCTCCAGACCCAGTGCTAATTCCTTTGATCAGAGATTGCGCATGATCGATTTAATAAACACCAGCGAACCAGCATAGTAACTTTCATCGACGTGGGAGCGCGTTAAACTTGTCCTTGCTTTGTTCCTTGCTGGAAACAGCTAATGATCGTAACGGGAGATCGTTCACCGACTGCCGAGCTCATTGTTACCCGTCGGGAATGTCAAGATCGCGATCATGGTCGCGGCCAACAAGGGCCTGCTCGCTGAGATCTTGACTCGTCCCAGGACTTTAGATCTTGCAATCTCGATTCATTTCAATCCTCTACACAAACAAACCACTCCTATCATTCATAACTAAAATTTCTGCTTTATGTTTCTAGACTTTTTTATGTTGCAACAAGATTCACAGACTATTCACCATCATCAATTCTTGGTCTTTTCTAATTTCGCTATTCAATCCGTAATTTTTTTGAAGAAAAAATTTCTTTCCGTCAAGTATTGTATGTTGAATTAACCCTTTGAACTTGAATAATTTTCTCAGATTATCTACTAACAAACGTATTTATTCTCGAAGTAATAAAAAACGTTTCGGATAAATTGCAAAATGATTTGACGTTATTACTACGTTATTACTAGACTGCAGATTTCATACATTTATGACAAAAATGAGTAACTGCAATTCGAGACAGTAGAATGATTAAAGGAGTTAACCCTTTGTACTCGAAGCCATTTTAACTGTAAATCTAAATTAACTTTTCTGACTCCATTTTTAATGACAAAGTGTATTTCATGCATATGAAATTGAATCTTGTGATTCATACAACAGTTAGACTTTTAACAATCTTTTTATATCTAAGGTTTGATAATAGAAATATTATCTTGGAACGTGATGCAATAATTTTAGTGGTGCCTCAGAGTCACTACTCGAGTGCAAAGGGTTAAGAAGTATCCATTGAAATTATTAGTGAAAAAATAAAAGTCTTAAATGGCTCCTGTTTCTTGTAACAAATGCAGATATTTTTATTTGGCATAAAGATTCGTAGTCGAATAATTATTGCATTTACGTAAAAATTTGTCTCAGTATAAATTTAGTCAAACAAAATTCTGTAATCTTGATAGCATCACAATTGACAGCAAGCTTGTTGTATCGTCGTAAAGGGCATTCGAGTGCAAAGTATTAATTATCAATTTCGTAAAAGCTGAATATACATATATGAGGAAACAAATTCAAAATGCGGAAAGGAAGTTTTGTCGCATGAGGTTTCCTTTTCTAGGATAAACTGAAATTGAAGATATGTAGAATCGTGCTAATGCATAGAAAAAGCACGCTCATGACTTACACTTTCTACTTCTTGTAAGTACTAATGCATACACGTGAGACATACTTTCAATATCGAGTATGTCGGAAACGAAGACTCGTGTGCAAAAATTCATTCCACGTTTTTGACATATTTGTCCGTTTCCTTTCTAATTTTACCATCACCTTGTACGTTACAACAGTAAATAACGAAATTAACCCAGTTGCTTCACGTTATTCTTACGATTTGTGCAGTTTCGTCATGCTTAAGCACAAAACTATGATATACATTACAAATTAAAACATGTTAAATACTTTGCAGTAAATATCAGGAAATAGAAAAGTTATGTCTTCCGACACTTGGAAATAAAAAGAATGCTCTAATGACTGCAATAAATAGACCGCGAATAGTATATGCGTCTGTATTATATGCAAAAGGAATAAGATTACCACATTTCAATTTTCTTAAATCTTCTTACTATTAGAAATATTTCCTTCATTCGGACTTCCATAAAAATATCTGAGGGAATAGAAATTTACATTAAGCAATAAAGCAAAAAGCAAGAAAAATTTGGTTTTTAGTGGAATAAATCTTCTCATTGCTACAAGAGAAAATTTTCCTTTAGTCTTATTCCTATCAAATAATTTATGAAAACAGCGATTTACACATGAAGCGATCTGCAATCTGATAACGAACAAGGCAGTATTTTTATTCTATTTTGACTAAAATACACAGAACACACACCTTTTAATCTTCGTCTGATCTTCCAAAAAATGCTTCACAGAACTGAAAATTTGCATCTTTTATGCAACTGCGCTCAGTAAACCTAATTTCAAGAAAAAGCAACGCGAGGATAATTGCTCAAACATCTCGAGTGGCCGCGTGCCACTTAATTAGCCCATGATTCGAGATAGGAAACGGGTCGGAGGTTCGATTACGGTGTCTCGGGGATCATCCTCGGGCGAACAGGTTTTGCAAACGATCGAGCGAGCGGTCTGTTACAACCAATGCCGTTAGATTAGCTTACTGACCAGCCTCAAACGGTATTATAGTATAACGGCAATCATGCCAGATGCCAGCCAGGTACCCCTTATGGTGTAGATCCTTTCAAGGTCGCGTTACCCGATAGAATTTCAATTTACCGGATCGTTGACTCGCGATTTAACGACAATGTCGGCTCCGAGGACGATAGAAACTATTGGTCCATTCTTGTTCAATGATGTTACGTCATAGGTATTGCCAACACCGTTACGATGAATGAGCTAATTGAGTTTTGTAAGCTGATTGAACAATAGCTGAGCCTGGTAACACGTGAGCTGCTGATTCGACAATAAAACGGCACTTTGGACAGCACTTAGAAAACTCATGCGATTTTTTATGTTCATATGTGTTTCTCTGGTTCGTTAAAGATCTTCGATTGAATCGAATGGATTAGATAATAAATCAGTTGTTTTATATCAATAATTTCAGTATATTGCTATGAACATGTAACAAAGAGCAGTATGGTAATTACCAGACTTTTGCGCGGTAATTGCAAACATAGTGAACGATGGTTTGAAGATGTTTGTAGTTTTATAGGATTTGTATGGTTTTGAGAAAATTATGGAATAGGAGACGTAGTAGAATTTATTGTTTTCAGAGAAGACTGATGGGGAGAAGTAAATTTGTGCGTGTGTGTGTCATTTTCTAAAGATACGCGAAAGTTTGCATAACAAGTTGTAAGTTCAGTCTGCACATCTTTTATTTATCATTCGAAAGTGGCTTATTAACATATCGCCAATTTTATTTTCGTTTCTACAAATAAGTTACGTTGAAACCATTTATGTGTACTTAGAAATTCGAAAAGGTTGCATTCGTTTGCATAATTTCGTGCCCTCGCGAGATCAGTGAACGAAATGTATGAAAGGTCATCGCGTTTCACATATGTAGGTCCATTGCTTAACACTGCGAAGAGTCTCCATCGCAAGGATAACGGGTCGTTTTTATGAATCCTCGTTCGCGATCGAGAATTTATGACAATTCCGTTTTTTTTTTTGTCGCGGGACCTTACGACCGGCAATCCTTGCGCTGTTCCCTCGTTGGCATTCGAATCGCGCAACGCCCCTTTTTTTCTCGACGCTGGATTTTTCTTCATGAATTAAATATCCTGCGGATCAAGCCCCTCGGCAATTTATTGCTTATTTTATTATTGCTGGTTTAATGCAATGTTATTCCTGGCATATTGTGTTTGTTACTCGATAGCTGGCTGTAA